ATTTTGCTAAAGTAGTACAAAATCACATCTCTTCTTAATTTAGCTCATTGTAGAAAATTACTGAAAGCTCTTTTTTTTATTTTACAGTGAGTCTAACAGGATGGAGTTATCTTTTTCTAAAAGTGTCTTGCTAAATATCCATTGTTTATTCATTATTTCAGTTGGAGTTGAAAATTTTATACAACTTTGGCAAATTATTAGATTCATGAAAATTTATGAAAAACACTTTTGGGAATAATTTTTTATTGGCACAGTGACAATCAAGCAAATAGTGTCTTAGCACATGTGATGGAGAACAGTCCATAAGAAAAGTTATAGTATGAGTAAAATCCATTTTTAGGGCTTATGTAGCTCAAAGCTTTCAATCTTAACACTTTAGTATGCTAAACAAATATCCTTTCACTTAAAAAGCAGGTATTTATGTCTTCAAGCATTTCACAGATAAAGTGAGGTGGGGTAAAGTTATTAAGTGTTTTTGTCTTTGGGTACAGAAGTCAATTTCTGGAATTATAAAACATTTACATGATCTAAGAAAAGGCAATGCAAAAAGCAAACAAACTTGTTAGAAAAGACTTGAAGTAAGAATGAATAGAATTCTTATATTTGGAAATAAGACAAAAGTTAGAAAGAGTGATTGGATGATGAATGGACATCTACAGCAGAAATTAGTTTCTGTAAGTCTCACTTTAACTGCACATTGTACAAATACTGGAGAAGAGAATGTTAGTCATGGAATAACTGCTTACAGAAGAAATTTCCTCACCTGTCTAAATATAAAGATGGGACACGTACAGTATTAAATAAATTTGGTTAGGAGTTTAAACAAAAAGATATGAAAAATTTTGGGGGAATTTTTTTTCCTCAAAAGGAAAGAGTTATATATCAACAAAGAATTCCTTTGTTTTACTAGTGAAATGGCATATATTGAAAAATAGAATTGTGGCAAAACACAAAAGCAATGAAACAGAAAAGAGTGAAAAATCAGTTGGCTGTGATTTAGTAGTTCTTTACAGATTTGGTGCATGCTAGGATTTTCCAAAATTTAGCTATGATTATACAAACACCAGTCAGACTGCCATAGAGAACTGATGATAAATTCTTGCAAGGAAGAATAAAGGGAACAAAAGGATCAGCTAAAAGGATTTTTACACTGCTATTGTGAAGCCAGTATCTTCACTTTTCACATTACTGCCTATTCAGCTTTTTGGTGCATATGAGATAGAAGCTCTTGAGCACCAGACTAGAAAGAATTCTATTTATACTCAAATGTGGTCATCAAACTCCTGGCAACATACCGTTCTGTTTTTTTTTTTCAATAATCTATTACTATCATAATCTGCCAAGCCCAATGCTGAATCAGAACCTAGCTGTGTTACCCATTGTAATGGCACATAACAAAAGACAGAATCCCTGTCCCAAAGAGCTACAAACACTGTTTGAAATATCTGTCAGTATTCAGCTGGTAAATTTCTAATTTTCTGCCTATGCAAAACTAAATGTAGTCTCTGAGCTCAACCTAGAAAATGTCATTTGCCTTCCACAGGTCTTTAATTTGTTCAGAGGGCCTTCAGCTCTTTAACAGATTGAAATCCCTCTTTTCTGTTAGAGCCTTTGAAAACAGAATGCACTGTGTGTATGGCATGAAATGCTTTTTTCTTACATTGTGTTAGATTTCAGTCATGAGGAGCACTGTGGTAAGCGGTCTTGTTCAAAACTGTTGGCTGTAGCTAGCAGGATAAATGCTTTTAGAAAAAGGAAAGGTTTTTCAAAGTTACACTTCATAAATTTTATGTCAACTCTTAATAAATCTATTAGAGGAAGAATGATAATATGGAAGAGTTATCTTATTTTCTAGGGTCAGGAAAATAACCGTAATCTTTTTGTTTCCTATTCACTTTTAGTTTTTCTCTCCTGCAACCTGACTTAGTAATTTTTATTTGCTCTCATGTTGAAAAGACATTCTAATATGAGAAAACTCAATCTAAGGAGCTCTGGAAAGAAGTCTCTTATGATCTGTATACTTCCGGGTAGTAGATGTTAATGCAATCTGAAATCTTTTGTCTTTTGTCATTAGCTGTTGCTTATCTTGGTTGTTTGTCAGACATGTACTGCACTTGTTATATGGCTGGTTCCTTCTCTATTTTTATTCTCTAAATTGGTTGCTGGATTTGAAGAGATTTTGTTTCTTTGGTTTTTGGTTTGGTTTTTTTTTTCTGAACCAGTGCCCATTACCGTCCATCTTGTGTGTGACCCAATGAAAACAGATCACCTGCTTTACCTGTTGATGTATGTTCTGAATAGAGTAAGACGATGAAAAACTAAGCTCCTCCCAGAGTATCTGCTGTTTGCCTTTCTTATGGTGGGAATATGACTTTTTTGCTGGTAAACAATCTACATTTTTTGTGACTTCTTTTGTTGCTTATTGGTCTCTCTCTGCCTTTTCTAAATTTCAAGGCTTTTGTTTGTGTTTTTTTTTTAATTCAAATCCACCACTGGACCGTACACAATATCTTGCAGTTATTTCTGGATGTTTTGTGCAGGTTGGCCTCTTTCTTGAGAATCCTCTCTGCCAAGAGGGATTTTTGGCTATGTACCATGTTTTGTATCACCATTCTTCCCATCCTGCCCACATAACAGTCTGCTCTGAAACCACAAGCATCTAGGTAGGAGTAAGAGCAGCTGTGTGCCTGCTCTAGTTTCTGCCAGTTTCTGGCATCTGGCTGTACCCACTAGCAGAATGGTTCAAGTCACCTTTCTTTGCCTCCTTTTGGACCTTGATCTTTCTCTATTATGTACTGAGCTTGGAGCCACACCTATTCATTTTTCAAGAACTCTCAGCAAGAAGATCCCCTGTGTATGTCAGGCTCAAATACCATAAAACAAGAGAAGGATGTTTTGACTATGCTTTTTTGTGGATGTCCTCTTTAGCGGCTTTTCACTTTAAAATACGGCCAGTGACAACACATGAAAATGTACAATGGTGTATCACAGATAGCAGAACAAAAAGCTCTTTTTCAGGACATGAAGCTCCCCTCCCCCCGCCCCCCCCCGCCCTGGTGTTTTACCTTCTATTTTGTTCATAAAACCACATTAAGCATGGACCAGCTGAATAATTGTATTTATGTTATAAAATTATTTTTTAAAACCAGGAAGTGTTCAAAATTCACAAAATCATGGCATCCTAAATAGAAACAGAATATGAGTAGGGTTTGCTTGATGTAATTTTTATAATTTTTTTTTCTGATGCAATTTTATTATTTTTTCTGATACCCCCAATGGCATTTTTACCATAACATTACTAGAAAAAGAAAAGTATTTTCCTGATATCTCAAGAAAAATGAAAAATACTGCTGTAACGCTTATTTTAAAAAAACCTCACAAAACAGAATATGAAAAGGAAGTATAAAAGCACAAGATTTTAAATATGCATTGTAAAGAAAATTTACAAAGGCTCTTTTAAAAACATGTGATATTTGGTGAACAATAATTATTTTCAGACTGCTAGTTTCCAGTAATGGGAGTTTTCCTTTCCACAGTCTTATATCTACTGTCATTGTAGTGTTATACGGACATAAGTGGAAAGAATTTGGCCCATCCAGAGTGATCCAGTCAGAGGTCTTTCTCCATGCTTAGTGAAAATAGTATTTTTTAGTATCCCAATTAGTTATAGAAATAAATTTCAACCTTTTAAAAATGTGAATGATTTGGCAATATTATGGGGGCACTTCTTGTTTATGTATTTTTTGATAATCACAGAGCTTTGAGTGAGAGCCTATGCATTTTGTCCAGAAGATGCAGTGCAGAAAGTGTAGATTATGAAGAATGGCAAAGACTGCTTTCATCAGAAGCTGTTATATGTACAGCTGGTAATGCTGTTATATGCATGGCTACAGGCCTGTTGCTTACAATCTTCTCAACATAACTAGCAGAAAAAATAATACAGCATGTCATCACTTCAGGTAGTGCATAGTGCTTACATTGGGAAAGCTCCCCTCGCTTCTTGCAGTGAAGATCGTCCTGGTCTTTGTCTCCTATCCAGGAAAAGCTGAAGCGTTGATTTAACAATCAGAAAACTTAGGTTCCAAGTCCCTTTATCGTACTAACATTAAAGATTATTACACTGTGAAAAGCTATTTTCCAACTGTTGCTGAGCCAGCCAGGGGAGAGTGTTAATACTCACTGTTAGAGCATGGTGTGCTTTATTAAGAACTTGTACAAATGGGTATGTGTTCCGGGAAATCTTGTAGTAAGAGCAGATTACATGAGTGCAGATGCAAAGCAGAAGGATCATGTGCTGTTACTGCACAGAGTGAAGGTCAGCAAACGAGCACACGTTCTGCAGATAGTGGGAAAGAAAGCTACACAGTCTAGCTGTATAAGAAGTGGACTTTTGTTTTGTGTAGAGTTTTTTGATTTTGACAATACTTACGTTCCAGAGTGGAATAAAAACAAAAGCATTCCCTGTATATCCAAAAAACCCCACTCCCTTCAAGCCAATCTAAATACTTCAATTTGATAAAATCAGGATTTTAATTAAATTATGTTTTAACTTTTTTTTTACACATTTTATATTTTCTAGTCTAATTTAATTAAACCTTCCACCAACTATTTTTTATTTGGAAAGGAAGACAGGAATATTCAATTTTGAATAGGATAAGGTGAAATATTTGGGCTATATCATAATGCTTTTTTTGTAGTTTTCTGTTCATAATCGATTTTTGTCAAGGGCAAGGCACTTCTCTGAAATGTTTTACTTTTAATGAATTTATACTTCCTAGCAGTACTCACAAGATCCATGCTGTTAGTACTACCAAAGATCTGACAGATTTTCTTGCCAACATTATAACAGGTTTGCTACATTTAACTTCTTATAGTTTTGAATTCTATCTTAAATGAGTCAGGCAATAGGGACTGCATAATTTCTGTGGTATCATTATTGCCCAGGTTAATTACTCTCCTAGCTCAGAGTAGATGTAAGCAGAGAACTTTCAATGAGTAACTTACGATTTACAAGTTTGGATGGCAATATTGGCTTGCACTTCTCAGGAGATGCTACATTCTCTTCATCTGTTACATACTCAAAGTTAATAATAAACATCATTGCTACTCCCTCTTGATTTTTCACTGGAATTATGTGGGTGTTGCAAATGAAGGTAGATCCTGCAGATGGAGGAAAAAAAAAAAGAAATAAATAAATAAAGGAAACTTCATTATTTTTTCACTCCAATAATTCCAGTTACACCAACAGATAGTGAAGAATAGTTCTTTGAATTTAATGATTGAACATCAAATACAATATTCTTTAATTTAAACAGGAACATTTCCATAGAAATAAAGAAATCTTTTAATAATTTATTAGATTATTACCTCTGCTGAAAGATGTCTCCTTTAAAATGTCAATTTTACTTTTTGGTTTTTTATTCACTGGAAGTACCTATATAGACAGACTTGTGATACAGAGACATTTAGCACCAAAAGTAGCAATGTGAACACTGTTCCAACCACAACTCTAGCAAAGAAAGCAGAAGCCCATTCTTCTAAATGTCAAGCATTCTTCAAGCTTTTGGTTCTATTACAACAGGATGAATCATGCATTAAATATTTATGGGTGTAAATATATCACTATTCTTATTATAGCTCTCAAGCTTTTGGGGGCTGCGTAATGTTGTTTAGGTTTGTGTTAAAAATGTTGTTATCTGATCCTATGGGGTTTTATATTCTATCACAAAAAACTTCTAAACTGCAATAATAATTTTCAATAATCTTGAGAAGTATTTGACTTAACTGTTATATACAATTTGAAGTATGAATTTAAAATTACCCTAGTTTTTATATAGATGGAGCATACCCAGCTTATACTGAAATGAACAGAAGGTGTAATTTCTCTACACCTCTGGTACTCAGGGCGTTCTTGTTCAAATGCCTAATTACAGATTTAAAGATTTCTTTGTGTTAATTCTTCCAGTATAACTCTTAAGAAGTTTCATTTGACAAGGTCATTAGTTTTGATTTAATTCCTTCTATTAACCTAACAGAACATAGTTGTTCCAAAAATAATGTGATTGCTGTAAGCAATACAATAATGTGCTAAAAGCTTCATGCAAACACAACTGTGAGATGGTGACTTTCCATGATAACTAGGGACTGGTTCAATGTACATCATCTGCAATTTATGCATTGAAATGCAGTAATCACTGAAACTTGACAGGGTGTGCAATTTGACAAAAACAGATCCTGATCTGGGTTTCACAAAAAATTTTTTTTTTTTTTTTTTTTTGCCATTGAGGAGAGACATAGTAAAGATTTATATCATTATAACCAAGATCAGATTCTGGCTCCTCATATTTAATGTAGTACTTGCTATAATATGGTATATATGGCAGTTTGAGCTATGTATAAAATTGTCATGCTGGCCTTTCAAGTTTTGCAGCTGTACCTTCAATCCATTTAATAGAACAGTTAAGCTGTGGCACTTGCCACAGTTGCCATGGTTACAAGCTCAATGACTTTAGTAAACAGAAAATAAGCAATTTAAGACTGTTCCATTAGAGCTAAAAATAGAACTGCTGCAGGCCAAGCATTGCAACATAGACTGGTTAAACAGAGAGTCTGAAAAGAATTTAGAAATAATCTGTGTTTTTAGCCAACTAATAAGAATACATATTGAGTTTAAACAGTCAAAAAATTATATTTATTGATTTGCTTGGAAGAAAATACTTACTATTCAAGCTATAGACTATGTTTTGACATGCAGATTTATAGACTGAGCAGGTATCAATCCCAATCGGACACCTTTAACAAAGGACTGGAAGTGGGGCTAGGCTGAGGTGTGCATGGCTTTGAAGAACACTGAATTCCAGTGGATCAAATGTTTATCAGTTTTTGCAAACAAGGATGACAAGGGGCCTCAGACTTCTTTAAAAACTTTCCTGCTTTTGAAGGCAAGGGTGTTTCAGCTTTTGAAATGCTTCCCACAGTGCTAAGTAATGACACTATCTCCCGTTTATGTAGAACATTCCGCCCTCAAGCATTTACAAACCTCATTTGTACTGGAGTTAGGGATTTGCATCTCTGAGGAGATGCAGAAGCTGTTTAACAGTCCACAGTTTAAGAACGTGGCAAAAAGAGCACAGGGTTGAAAATTTAAGCTGTATGTAGAAATATTTTGGGAATAAAAAATGGGAAAGATTTGTATCTGGTATAATTCAGTGTAGTTCCTTTGCAGACCAATTGCACCAGCAGGCTAATGACTCCAGTGTAGTTCATGAGTCTGAAGTTTTTCCAAGACACTGGGCTTTTTAAGAGACATAGAATATGTACTTTGTGTGAATGACTGGAATTGGAATTCTGCAACTTAGCCAAAATACAATGCCTGTTGCAGTCACTGTTAGTGTTTGTCTTTAGTACAGAAACTGTTATCTGTTACACACTTATCAGAATCTATCTCTATTGAAATGGCAATAAGGAAATACAAAATACAAAATAACAACGATGACCCTAGTGTGACTGAAAAAATAACAGTTGGGTGCAAAAAAAGAATACTAGCAAATTCAAAAGGTATGCTTGGATTTGTTGGAGTTGATGACAATAAAAAATATTACGAAGTAGTTTGTTTATAAACAATCTTATTCAGTATTTGCACTCTGGCATTCCACTGCTCTTCATTGCACTCAGCAACTCAGCACCCTGTTTTGTCTCTGTACTGAATATTTTGAGTGTAAGAAATGCTTCTAATGAGCAATAAAAATTGTAATGAAGTTTCTGGAATTTGCATTTCTCATCTAACGGCACAGGGCAAGTGGATGATATAATCAGAATAATTATGAAAATTATACTTTTATAATTAATAGACTCAATATCCAGCAAAATATCTGGATTTTCTAAAGATTACTATTGAGGAGTAATCATGAAATATACCTGTTGTGCTCTCTTGTTATCATCACTGGAGGTGATAAAGAGGAAAAGCTGGATATTCCTTGTCAGCTTGAATTCCATGGTTATAAGGGCTTGTTTTCTCTTGTCTGTTGCATTTTAAAGCCCACTCTTTCATCTAGTTAAATTAGTGGCAAAATATACATATGTGAAGAAAAGATTCTGCTCCCCTATATTCTGTGTGTATATGATATATGTATGAACTGCCAAAATGTATACATAAGTAACAATAAATATTTAAGAAATAAAGATTTAGGATATATTAGGATTATATAAGGATATATTGCACCATTTGAGCAATTCTGGTGAAGCAAAGTCTATTTAAATATCTGGCTGCATAGTGTTTAAAGTTGACTTGCTTCATAAGAGCAGTACAAAGCAGGCACATCAAAACAATTAATCTGGTTCATAAAATCTATTTACCTTTCCAGTGATTTTCTATAGAAGATTTTAGGACAGATTTTTATCAGGCTGCATCTTCTAAATACTGCAGTCATTTATTTGAATTGTAATAACTCCTTTTATGAGCAATTGGGAGAGGACAATACAATTAATACAGTGGTGAAGGCATTCCAAATTACAAGAGCCTCCATTCTCATATGAAAAACTCTGACAAGCAAACTTCAAAAAATGACACATCCTAAACAACTACTTTGATTCAGCCTTCCTGGGAACAAAATTTTCACAGGCCATTACATATGCCAAGCTCAAAGGATCTCTGAAAAATAAAACACTGTGGCATTTAAGTAATTGTCCTAATTCTGCAGAAGCCCTCTCTTTCACACAACAGGGACCCTTGAAGATCCATGGTTCTATAGGATGGCTCTGCAGCTCTGTTGCTCTGAATGAGTCTGACAGTTGCTACCTGCATGTCACCATTAAAAAATCATACTCCTCTACCTCAGTACAAATTTGAGGACTGCATTCACTGGGCTGAGACTGGTTCCAACATGTTTTGGAACCAATCTTGGCTCCCTGCACTAAAGCATTTATGACTTCTAAGATATTTTTTGTTGCTAGAGCTGCTGTGGACAACTGACTAAGGCTATAGAAAGAAAGATGTTAAGTATGTCCTCTGCATGCATATATAAATTTCTGGACAGGTTGACCTCATACAATAGTTTTCTAGGATTATAATTTTTTAGTGCTGCAACCTACAAGTAGTCCAGTGTAGGTAGCCATACGTTTAAAATTGAAGGTGAGAAGAAATAAATCAAAACAGAACAAGGCAAAAGCCAACAACAGCTTTCCTACTAGAACAAGACCAAAGACAGCTAAAAATTAGAGACAGAGATACTGTACGTGTTTCCAGAGCTAGGCAGTCCTGTTCTCTGTTTGAAGACAGATCTGAATGAGGGACTTCTTCAATGTGTCAATTTTATGATAATATAGGGACAAGAGAAGGAAGCTGGGTATTCTTTACACTTTTATTAAATAATCAGCATGTTTATTTTGGAAATAACTACCCTCCACTTCCCCCGACATGATTCACATTTTGTCATCAAAATAAATGCTCAAAATGCCTTCTCTCAGAGACACAAACTTAGAATATATTAGTTACAAACACAGAGTTTTAACCTTATAATTTAAAATATTAAACTATCAATTATAGTAGAAATGCAAATAAATACATTTCATATTAAATTGTGTACTAAGCTTAGTCTTAATTCTATCAGCATTTTACTGAAAAGGAGCACAGAAAAGTCTGCATGGTTCTCATCTTGTTAGTAATGAGGGGAAATATGTATTCTTTTCATATCTTCATTTTTGACTAGTTACTCTGACATTATTAGAGTCTGATCACTGTTATACTAAATAGAAACTTAAGAGTTGACTTCCATAAACACAAAGAACAAAGAACATCATGTAATAAAACATACTCAATAGCATTTTGTTATCTTGTGTTCATATTTACAGCCTTATTTGTCCTTTCATCATGGCATGGCTCATGGGGATTGCGCAGTGTTAGTAAGAACTTCTCTGGGGAAAGAAAAGAGTGATAAACTGAGGGAGAATTATTGTGGAAGATCAGAAGATCTTCTCTTGACTTTGCCCATCCTTCATGTCGTCTTCATCTTTAGGATGAGAAGCCAAGACATGGCTTTCTACTAGCTCCTTAACTCCCCAAATCCAATATTTTTTTTCTCCCTAATGGACAAAAGAAGCATCTCTTTCTACTTCTTCCAGACTGGGGCAAATCTTGGAAAGTTGGTTACTCTGCTTATTGA